CTCCAACATGGCGCCTGCCGAACGCCGCCTCGGTACACAACCCCTCCCCGCGGAGGGCGCTCCCCGCCGCTAAGATGGCAGCGCGGGTTTTGTGCGGAAGGAAGCCCCGGGTGCGCTCCGTACGCCGCTGCGGTCGGGCCTCGGGGGCCCAGGGGCCGCCCTGCGCGATGAGACGCGGGGCTCGGCCCGTGCGTTTGCTGGAAGGAGGAGCCCTTCGCGTTTGCTCGCCCACGTCAAGCCTCTGGTTGTTGACGTGCGTCGCGCAGTTTTAGTCGTTGTCGGGCTTTTTTTTTTTTTTTTTTAAACTAAGGACTTTTCTCAAAAATCTGAATTTTTTTTTTTTAGGCCGAGGAGTCGAGTGTTTTTAGACGAATTAGTCGTTGTTTACTTAACAGGACTGTCTTGTTCTTCCCTAGGCGTGTAGAGAAAATGGCAGACGATATTGATATTGAGGCGATGCTTGAGGCCCCTTACAAGAAGGTGAGAAAAACATGCCAGTGAGCTTTAATATGTTTCTTAATTTAGCATTATTCACGAAACTACTGCTGAAATGTAAACTAACCTTCCCGGAGCCCTCTTGATTATCTTATCAGAGATGCATTACGTGTAACTTACAAAAGTAAATATATGCTATTGATGTAATAATATTGTGCAGTAGTTTCACTTCAGCGTGATGAATAAATGCCCATCTATCTCTCTTTGTAGACTTGCCTAACGATATCTCACCTCTACTCCCATGAATTCACCTTTGATTCCAGTGTGAACTGTCAATCATAAGGTAGTAATTGAGTGACTTATCGCTGTACCGTGGTCCCCTAGGTAAAATGACTCAACTAAGAATTACCAGCTCCAGTTTGGTATAGCAAAAAAGGTGAATGTAGTGGTTTGGGAAAATAGCAGGGGTCCAAGAATAAATCATAACCAGTCTGTGGCAAGTAAATCTTACGAGTCTTTAAAGAAGAAATGGGTGAGATTTAAAATTTATTTTATATAAATAGATACAAGGCTGGCGATAGTAACCTTAAAACAGGCAGGTGCTGATCTGCTTTTCAGTTAATAATTACTGAAATTCTTGGATCCCTGAATAGACATTAGCAGAAACCAAAACAAAACAATATAAAACCACCAAAACAAAAGGCAAGAGGCAATGTCACAAATTAGAGTCACTTGATGACTGTTTTACTGTTCTCCATAGTATTTTGTTTTTAATTAGGCCCTGCCGAAGTATTTCACACTAAAAACTACAAAGGAGTTATTTTGATTAGTAATACAATATGACCCGTTTCAGTATCAGAGTAAAAGTAAACACTCTTCCTTCTTCCCCCACTTGGTGGTGAAAATAGCAGTATGCATGCATTATCACTGGTGTCACAAACCTTAGCCTCTGTAACTTAGCAGATATACTACGTAGCTGATGTGTTCAAACTTTGAAATAAACATTGCGCTTAAACCATTTAAAATAATACATTTGTTTTGGAGTGTAGCACGACCATGTGGTTCCTTTTGGATGAATTCTGATAGTTATAAAATAGTATAATTTATAATGCTAGACTCTTGAAGACGTGTTTGCTGTTTTTAATGTTTCTTGTCTTAGTTTAACGTGGATGTAATTCCATGTAAACAGGTATGGAAGTAGGAAATGTTTAGGCTGGACTGGTGAATTATTAATTAACTTTTCTTGGGTTCTTGGGAGTCAACATTACTAAAGCAGTGTGAATCCCTGTTTGCTTCAGGGCGAGATGTGTGACAGAGGTGGCATCAAGCTCTTACAGTCCCAACCCTCCAGCGGAAATGGGCGAAGATCTCAGGAATGGCATCGGTCACAGGAAATCGATAGTGGCTGGCTGCTAGCATGGCCACTTGGGGCTTAGGCAGAAATAGAGCCATGGTACCGACAAAAGGGACAATAGCACATGGAATAAAACTCAGTGACTTCATGTTTCATAAAAATAATAACCACTTCAACGTTTTGTAACTCTGGTTAACTTATTTATTATCTAAACAATGTAAGAAAGTAAAATATAACATGTTAATGTGGAAAGATTTTAATTTTTTGTTTCTTGATGACTTAATTATTAGCAACAAAGTGGTTAAACATATACCATCTAAATTTTTTTTATAGCCTTCCATGTTAGACTAAATAAGTAATTAGTTTTAAAATTGTCTTGTATTTTCTTATTCCTATTCCCTTTACCCTTTGACAACTTGAAATGTTACCACTTCGTCCTCATGATGTTCTTCTATCAACCTTGCTTAGGATGAGAACAAGTTGAGCAGTGCTAACGGCCATGAAGAACGTAGCAAAAAGTAAGTTTGAACAAGGAACCTGGGAGGGTGGGCTCTAAACTTCTTGTGGTGGAAATCTTATGTTCTTGTGCCTAAAGCATCAAACTGTGGTTTTCTTCGCTTCTTAGAAAACTGGTCATACCCTTTGGGATGAGAAAGTCCTTCAGGATTTAAAACTATGGACTTTGCGATGTAGACTTCAGCATATGGTTTCAGAGACCTTCTGGACACTTTTCCCTTCAAGGATCCCATGATTCTCTTGAGTTCTATAATGTTTTAAATTTGGTAACTTTGGCTTAATTTTTTTGGAGATGTGATAATCATTGAATTAGAAGACTTACATTGGAAAAAAAATCAAATCAAGGCCACAGAAAATACTGTGTTTACCTTCATTCACTAAAGGAATTGGCTATGAGTTATTTCTGCTCCTTGCAGCTTAAAGGCCCTTTTGGCAGTAATTCTTTGTAAAATTTTTTCCTTCATTGTTTTGGGCCTTTTTATCTTTAGTGTATCTAAGGAGACCGTTAAGAATATGTAATTTATTTGGGTTAGGTGAGTAATCTGAAATAAGAACTTCATGCTATAGACTTAGTACAGAATACAATATACAAAGTTATGTTAACAGTTTAAACAGGATCCAATTTATAAGGTTGGAGCTTATCAGCTGTTGTAAAATTAGCATTTAGCTCCAAAATTAGTGATTCTTAACATGATATGGTCATATGCATTAAGTTCTAGCCCATGTTTATGATGCCATACCAAAAGTTTGTCATATCATGACCCCGTGATAAATAATGAAAATGATGATAAAATAGCCACTTACTTGACTCTTTTTGGCTCTTTTCCTCCTAAGAGCTCAAAGTGCATCATAGTAACTACCTCAGTCATCCTCACAACAACTTTGTTAGGTAGGTTGATACAATTTCATAAAATAGATGAGAAAATGCTCAATGGGTTACTTAGGTTTGCTAAGCAAAGGGTTTATAATTTTAATGTGGTGTAGTAATGGATTACTATTAGTATGTGGGTTTGGGTATGGATGTAGGTTTATAACTCCCTCCTTAGGTAGAGGCATAGTGATCATAATAAATTCAATGCCAGCCTGGGTTTCATAGTGAGATCCTGTAGAGAATACAAAAATGAATTAATATTAAGAGGAAACACAGGTCTGATTAGTGTAAATTTTTTCTTATGCATGATTGGGTTGAATCAGGTTCTATACTGGTCAGAAGTGGATGCAGAGAGCAGGTTGACAGGATTCATATCGTGCATTTTTAACCTTTGCCAGTGTAACAGTTTCCTAAATTTTCAGCTTCATAATTTTATAATCAAAATAAAATCCTGGAACAAAAATTTCTTCAGATGTCATATTTATAGTGACATAGTAAAGATTTTGATCTTAAGGTTGAAAAGGATGAGGATAAACTTGAATGCAAATCTTTGACATTCTTTAATGTCACTTCTTTCCACCAATATCTTTAGTTTTTTCTTTGAATCCTGTGTCTAAGTTCATTAAAAATCACCACGCTTTTATAACCCATTTGAGCACCATGTATTATATTAGAGATTGTGCTTTTTGGGGTGGGGGTTAGTCATTGTAGTTTTGTCTAATGCATAGAGTCAGTTGGGCAATTTAACATAGTGTTTTAAAGGAAGACTTCCCTAAATACTTTAATCAGTAGTATCTTCAAAATGTTCAAGGCTTCTTTAATTACAGCTGATTTAAATTAGGTGATTGCCTAATGTAGTCACAAAGTTTTTATCTAGTTATTTGAAGGAACATGCCACAAAAAGTAATTGAACCTAATGTGGATGAAAAATAAATTTTCTCATTTTAAGATAATTTGTGTTCACCTAAGGTAGATAACATTTTTGTATGGCTCATGTTAAAACCTTATTGAATTGGAGG